GCGATAAGTTATTCTATCGCGCGATACAGTGTTCTATCGCGGGATAAGTTATTATAACCCGCGATTATATTGATTGCAAATTTTTGAATGAATGGACTTAGCAAAACTTATCGCGCGATATAGTCATGAAAACTTTTGTAGGCGGATGGCCCTTGAGAGCCACCGTACCGCGGCAAGAGTACCTACCATATAAACCCAGACATTAATTATGCATTCAGTCTTTGTTCAATGAAAACGATAGCGATAACAATAGAACTCCACAGAGACTTGCAGTCTTTATTTTCAAATTTGGATTTTTCAGTCTAAGTCTTCTTTGAATCAGGGTAAAGGTGCAAACCGAGGCTGTGTACTTTAGGCAAGATGTAAGTGTAATGGTGGTCGAGATAGGGGATGTAAGCACATAATGTGCTTACATCCCCCATCTCGACCACCTTTACACTTACATCTTGCCTAAAGTAGACTGCCTCGGTTTGCACCTTTACCCTGTTTCAAAAAAGACTTAGATTTGCAGCTGCGATGTACTCCCTGGAAGATTTTGCCCCACGCATCTGGGTTAAGAGACCGAGAGCAAATACTCAAGCGTGCGAAGTAAAGAATCTGGTGATCGAAAAAGACAAAAAAAACCTCCTACAAAATAAAGAAAACGTAAACACACGTACTCCCAAAGTAATGACTTGTAAGCAGCGAGTCCCTGCTTGTCGTAATCAGTGGAGTAGTAAATTAAATAGTTAAAAGTGTCGTACAACCCCTGACCCGAACGGCGGCGACGAGTTGAAGTTGTTGGCGGTCTTCGAGTGGATTCAGGAATTATTAAATTTTCTGCAGCATTGGTGTGATCTTTTTCGAAGTTTGGATCCACTGGCAAATTCCATGCATTCTTTCGACTGCACAGGCGATTTCTACCAGCGAAGTATTCAAATATCCGCTTACTGAAACTCCACGTTCCAGCAAATATCTTTTAAGTTCTGCCACATTCATGGCGTTAAAGTCGCGTTTATTCTTCTGATTGGACATTTCGAACCTGGAACTTTTCGATTTTTTCTGACTTTTCTAGACTTTAAGCAATGGAAAAATTATATAGTAACGGGAACGTGAAATAGCAACTCGTAGTTCGTACACGTGAAATGTTCTAACAAGTGCACACTGATATACCTAGCTTTGTTTGAGAGAGATTTGTACCTCACAGTATTTTAATCTACCACAGAAGTGGAGATTTCTGAGATACAATTTCTTGAGACCGGATGTCCGAACTTTCGTGGTTTGTTTACATAAAAAATCATGGGACACAACACGTGAAATCTAAAGATCATGACTAAAACACTACACGAGTACATACGGGTAACATACAAGTAACATACGGATACATACGAATACATACGAGTAACATACGAGTAACATAGGGATACATACGAATACATACTAGTAACATACGACTAACGTACGGATACATACGACTAACATACGGATACATACGGCGACTAACATACGGATACATACGAATACATACGAGTAATACGAGTGTTTTTCTCATAAAGGAAGCTCTAATTATAAGCTTTGTAAGCATTTTTCACGTCAGCAAACATGTACCCGGTTCAGTTTGAGGGGGGGGGAGAGTTGATCGACCCCCCAAGGCTTTCGTTAAATTTAGTCACAGTAAAATCTACCAAATAGAAATATAAAGAAATGTACGGGAGAATATTGAAGAGTCGTAACATCGCAAACTTATATCAAGGCATGTCTATGTTAAGGCTCAAAATAAATATAAACCTACCTCACTTGCTGTGTATTGTCGTTTCTGATCTGTGGTTCTAAATGACGAATTTGAGCGATTTGGTAGATTTTGCGTTGACTGTTTATTTTACTGTTACAGACATTCCTTGATATAAGTTTACGATATTACGACTCTTCAATATTCTCCCATACATTTCTTTATATTTCGAACAAACGACCAAACACGCCGCTTCTGTGGGCACCCTGTGTGCGCAACAGGCCAATTTTTACTCACATCGGATTACTTGGCATGACTCCAGGCCACAGTTCAATATCAAAGATCTGTGCCCTTGTAACGCAATCTTTCCTTTGTCGGGGAAGTTATGCGTGACGAATAAATACCAAATACCTTTTGCTCTCTCATGCTATATTTTACTTAAGTTGTCGTTACTTAGCGTAAAAATTTACTCGTATGAACTTTACTCGTATTTTTTCGTATTTTTTTACTCTATGTAATGGTATGTATTCGTATGTACCCGTATGTTACTTGTATTTTAGTCGTATGTTAGTAGTATGTTAGTAGTATGTATTTGTGTGTATGTATCCGTATATTCCGTATGTTACTCGTATGTTACGCGTATGCACTCGTGAGGTGTTTTAGTCATATCGAAATCTAAAGCCTAAAAGGTGAATTGTCCTGCGTAATGTCAGGATCAGCAATATCCAAATATACTATCGCTTTTTTCGTTAATGGTTATATAGTGATTAAAGTTTAGAATGAAAAACAAGAATTCCAATATCTGAAAATCTCACTTTTGTTCTCACTGTAAGCCCCAAATATTTTATGGATGATTACATTTTACAACTGGTCAGTTTCTCTTCAAAAAAAAAAAAAAAACGTTTTTGCGTCACGAAACGTAGTGATTAATGTTCCGTAGTTTTTCTTTGCATGCTTTGCGTGACTGTTGTTGTTTGTTGTTAAGCGGCAAAGATTAATGTTAGTCAACTATGCTAGCCATGTAGAAGATCGTTCCAAAGACTGATTCGCTGGCTTTTCATGTATCACTAGGACGTAGAAACGAAAAAATGAAAAGTAACATTTTTATGAAGAAAATTATTGTGACAATAGCTCTGTTTATCCAAGAAATACTATTCAGTCCAACACTGGAGCAAGGTATTAGAGAGCTTAAGCACCAGACGTTCTTGACAACACGAACGGCAGAGAAGCCGTGTAAGACTGGATCGAGGCCTTCGTTCTTGGCGCGAAATAGGAAGGTTAAGCAGTCGACGTTTTTCAGGCACGGACTTCTACCCGTGTCAACATGTCTTTGCTAAAAGATGCTAGAGATATGACCTTAATGAGCAAGGGAATAAGTTTCTTTACCCCACTCTCTTGACAGAATGAATAATTCGTCAATTTATTAAGCGACTTGAACTTTACCACTTCATACTTCAGTAAACAATGCGAACAAACGAGCGAGCACGAAGTTTTCAGTGCATGATCTGGATGCCTAGAGGACCATTTCTCTTTTTCTAAATTCGTTAATCACAGCGAGATTTGTTATTCTTATGTTTGTAGTAGGTTGCTCAAAACCTAGCATAGATGCATACGATATACAATGTGCAGTTACAAAATACAACCGA